CTGCAATGTACCAACATCTGTCATCATAATCATATCTTCAAGGTTGTAAAAGTAATATTGCAGAGATCTGTAAAAAATATACTTTCATTGTAAACTTAGAGGGAAAGAAGTATTCTTTTGTGTAGCAGTGGGATGGATTTACTTGGGGGTATTGGGGGAGGTGGTTCTTTGTGAAATAAAGTATTGGGTCTTTATGACTTTATAGACAATTTTGATTTCCAAAAATTGACATGCCTGTCTGGGGTCCATAGTGATGATGCATCCTACCTCAGTTGTTGGTGAGGCCCTAACCTGCCATCAGGCCTATAAATAAATAAATAGGCCTGAAACAAACCTAAACAAAAGTCCATGCCTTACAACCGTATTTCAGTTGTAAATCTGGTTGGTCTACGAGACAAAAAGATTTTTCAATCCGTCATTTGATTGGTTGGTGTTAATTAGATTATACTGTTGTTGTTGATATATTTTATAGTGATCACAACTATAATCAGGTTGTTGTCGTTGTGCGAAATTTTAATTTGTTGTCGTTGTGTGAAATCTTAGCGACCCTCATACCACATCAAGTTATATGCATGAGGGAAAGTAGGTTTCAACTATTAATTCAACTTGCAATTGTTACTTATATCCCATGAAATTTTGGTTTCCAATTACTTTAATATACTGTATACATATACCGTAAACCTCAGACTATAAAACCTGGCTTATATACTTTCATAAGCGATTTTTGATGGGCTTATACAAGGGGGGCTTATACCCAATGATCTTTTGTGTTAGTGTTAGTAATAAACAAGTCAAACATAAACAAGTCAGTCATAAACAGGAAATTAAAAATGTATTAATATATCAATTCGGGGGAGTTATATTCCGGGGGGGGGGCTTATATTCAGGGGGGGCTTATATTTGGAATGAGGTGAGGTTTAGTACATGTGGTGGGCTTATACATGGGGGGGGGGCTTATATTTGGGGGCATAGATGGATTTTGTGGGAGGGTGCAGGGGGATGCTACCCCCCAATATTAGCTATAACCCCCCCAAACAAAATGTCCACCCCTCCAAAAAAATTTTCAACCCCCCCAATATTCGGCATAATAAAAAATAATTAAATAGTCCACTCCAACGTGCAGAGTGTTGATGATACAAAATAAACGTAGGAGTACACTCAAATAGAAAAAGACAGTGGAATACTCTGAAACTAATTTTTCGAATCTAGAAATCAATTTTTTTCAGGGATACTTTGTTTTCTGCTCTCTAGACTCCCACTCGCGGCTCTAGTGCTCCACCCCTAGAATATAGACCCTACTGGCCTACTGGGGTTTGGTGACACTTTGTGTTGCTTCAGTCACCTGCTTGCGGCTCACCCCCCTAAAATTTCTGGCACCACCCCAGTAAAAAACATGAAAATCCGTCTATGTTCGGGGGGTGGGTGGGTTATAGTCGTAAGTCGGAGGTTTACGGTACCAGTACATCACAACTCTTTATATCAGAAAGGGAACTTGTAGTGACTAGCATGGTATACCTGAAACACTGCAACAGCTGCATGTATACAAAACAGTATGAAGTTTAAAATTACAGATACATGGACTATGTGCACTTGCAGTGAAATGTCTTTATATGGAAATATGCAAAAGTACCAGAGGCGAAAAACTGTTTACAAATACTCAAATTGACAAATTCTTCCTTGAAAATTCAAACAGAGTGCTTTACAATTTTGCATGTACATATATTAATGAGTTGTGAACAGGCAGGCCATCATTCAAAGGACGAAAGCAGTCACTTTCAATCAGTTTTATATTAATATTATTATAGATGACGGGTTTGAATGCTCAGTGCTCACTCCTGAGTCAGATACATATGCACATTTTATATAATAATAATTCAAATAACAGTTATTAAATACGATATTACACTTACCATGTCATCTGTCTTTATATTTGGCAATGTTTTGGCCCGTAACATAGACAAAAATTCAGTAAAATTCTGTTACTTGTCTTCGCAAATTTTGGGAAACTTTTAAAACCAAGATGGCGGCGCATTATTTTTTCGCGAAGGCCTGGCCGCTAAGCTTTGATCGCTTTTCGGAAAAAATACGCGACTTTTTAAAAAATCTCCTCTTAAATTTTAACGGTATAGTAAACAGTTTTAATACCTTTTTCGTAACTAATTTCATTATCAGTTTAATATAGAATCATAGTCGGTATTATTCTTTAAATCGAAGTCAAAATACGCAATTTCAGCTGATACTACATGCCGAACGCGTAGATAAAAACAGAAAAGGACTAAAACTAACGTCCAATCAATGCATCCAATAACTCCATCTTTGGCTTCACTTTTTGGACTCGGGTCAGGGACCGGTCATTATTTATGGGGGGGGGGACACCGAAGAGAAACTTTTTCTTGGTAAAAATTTTGCTGATTCAACTATTAAAAAGTCAACAAAATTTACCCCGAACGTTAAATATCAACTAAAAAATAAATACCCATCCCTGGCCAAAAACTTTACAAAAGGATAACACATGTCCTTCACCACTTCTGTGCAATTTTCTGCAGTTTAAAGTTCACGTTGTCTGCACATGTACTTTCTTTGGAGACACCATTTGTCTCCTGACAAATCGGAAAATGATCAAGATCATAGTGGCTCTGATTTACATATTGTATCGACATACTGTATGACTCTTTAGTCTTCAATATTTGAGAAATGACAGTAAATTTTCATTATCCAACCCTGCAGTTTTGTTTTTCATTTACCCTCAAAATTTTGTTTACCTAACCCTTCTCTCTTCGGTGCCCCCATAAATCATGTCCGGTTCCTTATCGCTCCAATAATATATATGGAGCTCACTGTCTCGCCAACACTTGTTCTTAAAACACATACGGCAAAATCTTATATGGGACACGACGACAATATTCTTCCCAATATTTCCCGTACTTCTGCCGACACCGAATATCATCGCGATACGTGCGATGCACAAGCAAAATTGCCATATACCATATGTAAAAATATGGCAAAAAGTGAGTAGATCCGCATGTTAAACAATAAGCTAACGAGCCCATTAAGTCGCCAACGTAATTAAAATGACGAGACACTCCCCACCAGCCTGAACAGAGTAACGGCGATTCCTTTTCTATACCAAAAGTTGTTGTGAATCTTGCAGCGATGTACTCGACCGGCCGGCCCCAGATTTTCAAAGGCCGTTGCTCTTTTAAAGCCATTCTGAAGATGTTCTTTTGATGGTTGACGGAACGGAATATGGCGTATCCACCAAGACCAAGCGCTGAGATGAGCAGGACTGCCCAGTATGGGAGGTGAACTGGGTGTACTGATAGATAAAATGATTGAATCGTGTACATGAATGGTAGCCACACCAGATCGCCCCATGCCAGATAGAAGCCGAAGTGGTCATGGGCAATGTCCATCGTACGCAAATACCAGTCTTCGTTATAAAAGAAATCCAGGACGTAAACAGCATGGAGGATATTGAGCAAGATCATCGAATTCGATACAAAACCATACGTTTCATACTGTTTTGCTGCAAATGATAAGTTGATCAAAGTCCACCCGCAAATTCCAGGGCGGCCATTGAAGAATAATTTGAAGTCAAACATTTCACCTATTCGCGGGTTATGTTCGATGCCCATAAATAGATCGTACGGCATCGATCCACTAAAGCAGCGGTCTTCAGCATGCGTAGGCCACACATGCGCCTTGATGTAGACTAGAATCGTGAACAAAAATCCTGCTAAATTTGTCACGACAAAAAGTGCGCCCCAGTTGTCGGCGATTACAGTTGCGCGGATGATGTCATATTTGACTAACAGGATTGCGGTGATGTGACTTAGAATCCAGACTCTCAAACCGTTGCAGTTGTAAGGTAGTTCGTGCCCTGCTGGGGTTGCCTGGCCTTTACCAATGGCACCTAGAAAATAATAAAATGTAGACGAGACCAGAAGTTTAATAGCCTGCGCATAATGCGCATACCAATGTAAAGTTTGTGCATAATCTGCGTATATCAACGTATTATGCCCGTGCATAACACCACAAATTCTCAGTGTGTTTTAACAAATTAAATCGACAGTCGTTAGCCTGCGTAGCGGCTGGCTTTTTGGGGGAGGACTTGCGGGCGGGATAATTTGGGCCCATTCATTATTTATGCTGGGTGGTGGCACCGAGGAGAAATGTTATTCTTGGTAAAAATGTCGCTGATCCAACCATTACAAGTCAAAAAAATTTTACCGAACCTTAAATATCAATTAAAAATAAACGCCCACCCCTGGTCAAAAACTTTACAAAAGGATACCATTCAGTTGTCACACATGTCTTTAAATCTTTTACAAATTCTGCGACATGAATTTCATAACGCTTGTGCAATTTTCTGCAGTCTAAAGTTTCATGTTGTCTGCACATGTACTTTCTTTGGAGACATCATTTGCCTCCTGACAAATCAGATTAACATGATTGACATGTTGTATAGACATATGACTGTTGACATTGCTTTTTAGTCTTCACTGAATATTTGAGCGAGTTAGTCATGCTTGGGAAATGACAATAAATATTTATTACCCAACCCTTGAGTTGTTTTGTTTTTCATTTACCCAACCTTCTACTCAAAATTGTGTTTAACCAACTCTTCGGTGCCATCTCCCGACATAAATAATGACCGCTCGCTTAATTGACCATTTGCGTAATAGACTAAATTCTGATCTCAACAAAAATTTCATCACAGCTTGAAAGAGCATCACAAAATTAGTAATATTCCAAAGTTTCGTTGCGAAATGTTGTAAAATGCGGATAATATAGCCTTGCGAAGTTTGCAATTTTCAGTCATTTTAGATTACTAACGGGAAATTGACAGCCCGATACCCTTTGGGGCTGTCAATTTCCCGTTTGTAATCTAAAATGACTGAAAATTGCAAACTTCGCAAGGCTATATTTTCCGCATTTTACAACATTTCGCAACGAAACTTTGGAATATTACTAATTTTGTGATGCTCTTTCAAGCTGTGATGAAATTTTTGTCTAGACTTGGTTGGATCAAAATTTAGTCTATTACGCAAATGGTCAATTAAGCCGCAAGCCATTCCCAACATAACCAACTGACGAAGGCTAGTGAGTCTTTTGCACAATTCGGCATATATCGGAACAATACCTGGTAAAAATGCGTATAGACAGGCTTGCCAAAGGAACCATATACTATATATTTTCACAGTATAAAACGTCGCTGACGGTAGCCTGCTATATACGACCCTCCAAAAGTTGCCGAACCCTTCTTCGGAAATGGCCGTACCGACGTCAGAACCAGCCGCAGTGAGGGAACCACCGTGATGGTTGCAAGCATACCAATAGAACCACGCAAAGAGAGGTGAACCAATGATCATCAAGGTTGAGGCGATACTTTTGGGGATATATGGGAGGCCAGAGAGGTTTATGATCTTGTTGTGTGTGACGTGGTTGGTAAGAGCGGGCTCTGGGGGCGAGGGTTGGAGGGTAGGGGATCCGTTTTCCTGGCGGTGTTTGAGTTCTCCTGAAACCATCTTGATATCGCGGCTGGAATGATATTAGGATGAATTAGAAGAAATTTTGATAATTGATACGGAATCAATAGACAAAATTTGGCTACCGTTTGTTTGAGTCTGTTGTCTGAGCCTTCAATTGTTACAATTGTAAAATTAATTAAAAAAAAAATACTCTAGATAACTCACATGCCTAATTATCATTGTTCTAGTATACAGAAGCACAGAATACAACAAAGGTAACTAAGCTTTAGAATTATCTACCTGAGTGAACAACTCTTAAACATAACTCTAATGCTTAGTTACTTTTGTTCTATTCTATGCTTCTGTAAACTAAAACAATAGTAACTAGGCATGTGAGTTATCTAAAGTTGTGAGTCGGGTAGCAACGATGTAAACCTCCGGATGTAAACAACGTTAGCCAAATTTGTCTATCGAAATATCCGACCTCGTATACGACGTCTGACAATAGAAATAAGGTTTTCAAAGAATGAGGTCACACAATAGAATACAAAAATAGTAAATGCCCCTAACTCTTGATTTACGAGTAGAAACGAGGTCATCTCTCATATAAACCAGGGGCGGATCTACGGTGGGGAAACAGGGGGTGCGCACCCCCACCTAGTGGTGTCTAGCACATCGTAGAGGAATCCAGCACCAATCTGCTTGATCATACATTTTCTGCTTTTCGAATAGCGATTAGAGGAACTTCTGCTGTTAGCACGTGTCGATTTCTTGAAACGATTTAATTGATTTGTGAGTTCACTGAGAACATACTCAGAATGCTTTAGTTAAATATCATGGAGGCCATATCGAGCGGGTTGTTATACAGCCATATTTTCAAATATACTGTACTTTAACAAGCAAATTTGCTATACGTGATAAAAAGCCGATATAAACTTTACAAACAAACGATAATTTAAAACGTAACAGAACGGCGGGCATGCAGATTCGGCCATCTCAAATTATGGTAATGTTGGGATCAGGGCGCTTATATATATATGTATATATAAGCGCCCTCAGGCTGCTCCATTTACTGTTCTAGAACATTTGGAACACTGTTCTGGAACGATATAAAATGGAGTGCACACGGTGTTCTGGAACGATATAAAATGGAGTGCACATGGTGTTCTGGAACAGTGTTGAGTTTATTATATATTCGTGCAACCATGCATTACTATATTAATTAGTCATTCGCACAATAAAGCGTATAATGATTCTCTGTTATTTGTACATCTACGTATGCTTTTGCAACGTTTTTACTTGTTGATTTTGCCCTACCCTGGCGTTCAAATAGCATATAATAAGTATATGTGGAAATATAGCGGTTAACCCTTCAAAATAACGCTCTATACAGTGTGCATTAAATACACAAAATATGTCGCCTCCATTTCCAATCACGTGAAAATAGGCAGTGTCACGTGTCTGTTCTGGCTGCCCCTACTCGAAAATCGGGGTAGTCAGAACAGTTCAGAACAGTCATGTAATTCTCTTCTGTTCCATTCATTAGTGTTCCGAAAATCCGGAGTACTCCGAACAGTAAATGGAGCAGCTTGCCTGGTTGGGATAGTAGCGTTGCAGACTGCAGAGGAGAGTGGCAATAAGGCTCCCTCATGCACCACCCCATGGAAAACCTGCACCCCTCCTTGCAGATGAGGCTAGATCCGCCTCTCAGCCCCTGATAGAAACATCAAATAAATTGTACGCATTGTTGCCAGGTGATGTTGTACAGAACTCAGGCCTGTTTTATACGTCGAATTTCGGTCGCGTCGAATACAATTCAAACAATAGATAATGAGATGATAAACCTCATTAAGCTTCATTATCTATTGTCTTAATTGCATTCGACGCGACCAAAATTCGACGTATAAAACAGGCCTTAGTCTCTAGTACATGTTTTTCAATGTAGGCGGTGATCTGATGTTGTACAGAACGCTGAATGCTAAGTCAATTAAGCATATTTGATAATATAGAATACACAAATTATGCAACAATTATAATTCCTGCTGCCTTTCATACACGGAAGTGAATTGAATTGCTAAGGCAAAAAGAAATCAGTATTGCACGTTATTAAACTTGTGAAACCACATGTTTGCAAGTTTTGCACTTCATAAAATTTGTCAGTATGCCGGGATTGGTGACGTTTCACTCCCAGCTAACAAAGTCAAAAAAGGACAAAGGCAAAGAGATTAACGAAGAACAAATCGCTTTACACTTCAATATCGCTTGCAATTCCACCTGTATAATTGAGGACACTTACCTTGGATGATTTTTTAGTTATAAACGAAGCAATCGACAGGCCAGTCGTCTGCATGGATTTGGACTACGAGTCTTTGTCTTCTCAGTGCTGAAATTCGAGTCGAAATTCAATGTTACACAATGTTTATTGGGCTGTCAAATATATTGGCTGTATGCATTCAGGCTTATCTGTTATAATGTGCTTTGATATTGCTGTTTGAAATTTGTTTAAACACGAAAATAGAAGTAGAAGTGAACACGTTTTGACTTTCTGTGATTGCTTTGTTTGTGATTGGTTGTTTAGAAAGACGATTTCTATAGTTTATAGTGTTTTATTGTTATTAATAAATAGCAATTACAACACCTGTCATATGGACAACCGACTCGTAAGAGACTATTTAAATATTGTTCCTCAACAATGGAAATTTCGAGTAGAATTTACACATTTATCAGACCTAGTAAGTGTTCTTGGCCTCGTTTCTGTCACTGAAGTTGAACAGAATTTTAGAACCAAAACGAGGATGAAAAGGCTATAATTAAGATTCATATAAAAGAATACTTGAACCCGTCTTTATTATTAAAGTGGTCAAAAGGTTGGTAATTAAAGGGTCTGAAATTTAATCACTTGTATGTCAGGCCTACAGTCACTGACTTAGATCATATTTCTACATATATTAATTTACACCATCAAAGTTTCTGTGATCAAAGTAGGAAATTCCAAGTTTTGAAGGATTTGTAAGAAAGTTTTGAGGGCGCTGACTCTGTGTTTAACACAAAGTCAATTTACCCAAGCATTTCTTACAAGGCTTCAAAACTTAGAATTTACCTATGCAAAATTCCTACTGTGATCACAGAAACGTTTATAGCGTAAACCAGGCTTAATTGTACGAGCAAGCAAATTTAACTGCATCTGTGAATTCTACAGGGTGTCCCCCCAAAAAGCCCCCCTTTAGAAATCACTTTTGCGCGTCATTATACCTTTGAGAATTTAATTTAATTGTACCGCATTCGTCCAAATAATTTAACAGTTCAGTTACACTTTGCGTTAACGTTTGAGTTTGGCCTGTTTTACACGCCGAATTGTGGTCGCGTCGAATGCAATTAAGACAATAGATAATTAGATGATAAACCTCATTAAGCTTCATTATCTATTGTTTGAATTGCATTTGACGCGACCGAAATTCGACGTATAAAACGGGCCTTACTCGAACCGTGCTCGAACTGACGGTAAGACGAATTTGTAATTTGACATTATTGTGTTGCTGTTCGTTTTAGAATCTATTTTAAATTCGCAGAGCAGAGGTTCATATGACAGTTAACGCACGTTTGACAACAAAAGAGTGATTTCTATAGGGGGACTTTTTTGGGGACACCCTGTATTTATGTTTCTCCAAATACAACACTACAACATACAGGGTGTTCCCAAAAAAAACCCAAACTATTGAAATAACGTATTGTTAGAATTTGAATGCCTCAGCACTCTGCTGAACCCACACGTGCATAAAAGCTTGACATAAGTAAATTTTATGCATATAAAGAAACTGTTTAAGAAGCTGCTTTAAGTTCCCAAGAGCAGAAAATCGTGCCCTTTACAAAGATATTTTAATTTGGGTTCAGCTTGGTGCTAGGGCATTCAAATTCCAACAATATGTTATTTCAACAGTTTTGGGATTTTTGGGACACCCTGTATAATGAAAAGAATTAACATTAATATTATTTTCTCACTCTGGACCCTGGTAACTGGAGCATGGCCATCATCTGCTGAAGAATAGCAACAGCACTGACAGACACAAAAATGTTGCTGTCAACGTGACCTTCAAACTCGTTCCAAGTATATAGGAACATATCAGATATCAAGGTCATATTATAATTTGTGTATTTGTATTGCTGTAATAGTCAAAGGAACATATCAGATATCAAGGTCATATTATAATTTGTGTATTTGTATTGCTGTAATAGTCAAAATAGTTTGAAGGTATTTGACATTTTGTCTTAGACAATCCCAGAAAAATTGCCGTTAGTTTCTCTCAAATGAAGTTTTATATGTGAAATATATAGTATTAAAATACTCATTAATAATTCATAAACCTTGTGGCAAATCTTGTGGTATTTTTTTTAAATAATGTCAGCCATAATGGCATAATATGTCACATGGAGTGACTTTATATCTGATAAAACTTATATAAAGAATACTAATGAGACGGTATCTTTTGTAGTCGTATTTTAAGCTATTCAAAACACTCCTACTCGTGTTTTAACTAGTCACATGCCATAAAACTAACACTACAAGTCTACATGGTATGGTATGGTATGGTATGGTATGGTATGGTATGGCATGGTATGGTATGGTATGGTATGGTATGGTATTCGTCAAGACGTCAACAGTTTGTTGGTTTCCAGAGGGGCGTCAAAATGTAAAGTCCGCACACAGGAGGCCCAGGCTCGATTTGCCCGCGCCCGCCTGTGCCTTCCTTATAACGAGGGAAGGACGGAGACATTGAGACCAAAATAGCCCAGACTTGGCATATGTCACACGAAACTATCCTCGATTTTTCGCTTTTAATGCATTTCTTTCACGATTAATCGATATCCCCTGCAAGAATGATACCGTATAACTCTCAAAACAACGATGCTTTAATCAAAGAGCTTAAATTCGCTCTGAAATCCGTGAGGGAATAACAAAATTCGGCCAAAATATATCCGCGTGCCGGGTTTGCTGTGCAAAAAGCGGAAGTCATTGAACAACTCAAAATACACTCAACCCTGATTGGACAACGAATATCAACAAACATTTCAAATTTTTTTAACAAACACAATGTGAAATACAATTTATTATACATATTAACGTACTACAGTTATATTTACATGCAGTAATATTTACACTTTATAACGTTTGTGAATAGTTTTGATTGCATGATTGAAATTATTACAGTACTGTTAAAAAAAATTGAAATGTTTGTTGATATTCGTTGTCCAATCAGGGTTGAGTATATTTTGAGTTGTTCAACGACTTCCGC